GAAGCTGAAATTAGCTGAAAGAAGCTGAAAGTAGCTGAAGGAAGCTGAAAGGAGCTGAAAGGAGCTGAAAGGAGCTGAAAGTAGCTGAAGGAAGCTGAAAGGAGCTGAAAGTAGCTGAAGGAAGCTGAAAGGAGCTGAAAGTAGCAGAAAGAAGTTGAAAAGAGCTAAAGGAAGCTAAAATAGGTTGAAAGGAGCTGAAGGAAGCTAAAAGAAGTTGAAAGGAATTGGAGGAAGCTAAAGTAGCAGAAAGGAGCTGAAAAAAGCTAAAGGAAGCTAAAAGAAGAGGAAAGGAGCTGAAGGAACTAAAAGTACCAGAAATAATTTAAAAGGAGCTGACAGAAGCTGAAATTAGCTGAAAGGAGCTGAAAGGAGCTGAAAGGAGCTGACAGAAGCTCAAAGTAGCAGGAAGAAGTTGAAAAAAGCTAAAGGAAGCTAAAATAAGTTGAAAGGAGCTAAAGGAAGCTAAAAGAAGTTGAAAGGAGCTAAAGGAAGCTAAAAGAAGATGGAAGGAAGTGAAGGAAGCTAAAAGAAGATGGAAGGAAGTGAAGGAAGCTAAAAGAAGATGGAAGGAAGTGAAGGAAGCTAAAAGAAGATGGAAGGAAGTGAAGGNGAAGGAAGCTAAAAGAAGATGGAAGGAAGTGAAGGAAGCTAAAAGAAGATGGAAGGAAGTGAAGGAAGCTAAAAGAAGATGGAAGGAAGTGAAGGGAGCTGAAAGTAGCAGAAAGAAGTTGAAAAGAGCTAAAGGAAGCTAAAATAGGTTGAAAGAAGCTGAAGGAAGCCAAAAGAAGTTGAAAGGAACTGGAGGAAACTAAAAGTTGCAGAAGAAGCTGAAAAGAGCTAAAGGAAGCTAAAATAAGTTAAAAGGAGCTCAAAGAAGATGGAAGGAGCTGAAGGAAGCTAAAGGTAGCAGAAATAATTTAAAAGGAGCTGACAAAAGCTGAAAGTAGCAGAAAGAAGTTGAAAAGAGCTAAAGGAAGTCTTAAAAGAAGATCTAGGATTAGATTCATCGTGTCCCTAAACCCACTCCAACAGTCGTGTTTTTTTTTTTGTTTGTTTGTTTGTTTGTTTGTTTGTTTGTTTTTGTGAATTGTTCCTGCAGCTGCGTGTTGTGGATCTTCTCATGCAGGATGCTGGAACAACAAAAGACCCCACCCCCCTCCTCCAGAACAGGATGTGAGTGGACATCCTGCCTGCAGAGGTCTCATCCTCTATACGGAGTCCTCCGACCTCCTGAAAGTTTTGTTTTTAGAATCAAATCCGAGCTGAAAACCTTTTTTCCATAAACTCTACCTTCTGTCCAGTCGTGTTGGTCCCACTGCCCCACTGCTCCGGGCTGAGAAACCTCTGAGAAATGTTTCACTGAGGGGATAAAAAAAAAAAAAACATGATAAGACGACACTCCCCCGACCACGAGGGTTTTGTTTTTTAACGTTATCTCTTACCGTAGGGCGTGGGAGGAGACACCGGGAAGGCCGGGGTCATTGAGAAGACGTCAGAGCTGAAGTCAACGCTGTTGGCTTTGTTGAGATGTCCATGCTTCACAAGAAACAGCACAGAGAAGAAGAGTGTTAGGAGGTGACACACAAACAAACGCACAAACACACACACACACACACACACACACACAGCAGACAGTCTTGTGATCTGTGTGGCTGCAGTCTTTGTTTTGCTGTAAACAGTTGGACTTTTCAAGGAAAGCTGCAGCTGCAGTGGCTTCTGTAGGCCCACACAACGAGATTATTTATTTTTTAAATTACGAGATTAAAGTCATAATATTACGAGATTAAAGTCATAATATTACGAGATTAAAGTC